TAATAGGGGCAATGGAAACACATGGAATGTTCTATTATACTTATAGTTTTTTGAATCAATCAACTAAATCCATCAACTGAATCAAGGAAAGAATAATCGGTCTTTCTGAATTCTGATTTGTGGTACTGATATTTTTGAAATATACAAGTTCGTGACATTTATGAATCTGGTCAGACTGAATAAATGTGGTATAACATTCAAAAACAAAGCTCTCTCAGCGTGTCAGGAAAAGAACATTACGACTATATTTACAAAAAGGGTATTCCTAGCTGTGGTAGTTTCTTTCATCTGAGATATGTTAGTCAGAAAGAAATTGTTTACTTTTAGCGCCTCTCAAGAAATATGTTAATTAGCTATAAATTATGCAAAAATCATTGATTATGGGCTCCAGAAAATCTTAACTCGCGCCAAATATAGATTGATACCCGCAGGTTTTTCTTCAGATCTTCTGAAAATAAGTATAAATCATTACAGCCAAGCACATTTCAGCGTAATTTTAGGTCCCCATTTGGAGATCTCGGGCTTCGATTTTAGTGTAATTTTGTGGACCGAACAAGAAGCAAAAACCGGTGTGCCGTCAAGTCGCTGCCGTTTATTCACAATTTATTCAAATGCTCTTATTTTTTGGAACAAGGAACCTGAATTGTATCTTAACTTGTTGATCTAGTTGAAATTTGGAAATAGTCAGGCGTTTTGACACAGCGCGGCTCTACAATTTACCGAAATTCAACCTTCGATTTTGCTTGAAATTAGCTCTGCACGTGTAAAATGAGTTTCGGCGTCTAGTGAAGCCATAAAAAAGAATTTTCAAAAAATAAATTTATTTTGGACACTTGTATACCAATGCCTTTCAACACACAAAAAATAAAGGAAATCTATTTTCCGAAGTCAAAGTCATCGGTCCGCTCTTAGCAGGACTGCCACTTAAGGTCTCTAATTTACTCACGGTACAACTTCATTTTTCTCGACACAGATCCATTCAGCCAACCTCCAATAAAATCGACAACCTCGCCGACAATTGATCCTGTTGCTTTATATCAACTTCTTAATAATGATCAGAATGATGTTCTTGTCTTGGACACTAGAAGTAAAAAAGATTATGAGTCATCTCGCATCAACTATTCCTGCTGTATAAATATTCCCGATGATCTGCTCAAAACAAGGTACAGTACTCTCCTGAACTACTGTAACATACAGTAAAAAATATAGCGAGTGCAGACGTAAAAACGCTCAAGTTGTTAGAGAACTGCAAACAAGTTGTACAACAAGGTTGTTGTGACAAGTACTGGAACAACTTGTTATCACTCTGTTACAAGGTTGATGACGGCAACAGACTTGCTACAAGTTATTCCAACAAGACTAATACACGCGTAAAAATCTTGCAGCAAGTCTGCCAACAAGCCGTCGACAAGTTGTGTTCGCACTGCTTGTCCCAAGTTGTCAACAAGTTTGGAACAAGCTGTTAACAATTTATAACAACCTTGTTGATATTATCAAACTTGTTGCAAGGTTGTTCCAACAAGTCCGATACAGTCATGATATAACAGTATTGTTACAACCTGTGTCATCAGCCTTGTAACATTCTTGTTATATCGTGACTGTATCAGACTTGTTAGAACAACCTTGTGGCAAGTCTGATAATTCCATCAAGCTTGTTCCAACAACTGGGAACAGGCAGTGCTGAGTGCGAACAGAACTTGTCGACAGCTTTGTAACAACTTGTTTGCAGTAGGTACAGGGCTGTTCGTAACAAGTTGCTTGTTGTCGGCTTGTTGTTAACAACTTTCGTGTTTCGCTCGCTACTCTGGTTTAAATAAATGATTACAAAGCCCAGTCGAATTGTAATCAAGACCCAACGTTTCGACACTCCAGTCTAGTGTCTTCATCAGGGGTGATTAAGAAGCTACGATTGCAACTTTAGATCACCCCGACCGTATCTCAGATTCCTGCCTCGATATTCCAGGTTACAATTTTGTTCATAAAAACCGCAGTGTGGGCTCCCACGGAGGGGTTGGGGTGTACATCAGGAACACGATATTTTATAAGCCTCTGAATCATCTCCACCATACAGAATACGAAGTTCTGTGGGTCTATTTTCGTCCAAGTAGACTTCCCCGCGGGTTTTCCTGCTTGATACTTGGTGTCGTTTACCATCCACCTAATGCTAATGATGATGAAATGCTCCAATTTCTCTCCACATCACTGATTACTATTGAAAGCACCTATCCTGGCTGTGGGTTTATTCTTGCAGGCGACTTTAATCGGTTAAAATGCAATCGGATATTAACACAGTTTAGTTGCAAACAGATTGTTAACGTTTCCACAAGGGCCAACCAGACTTTGGATCTAATAATAACCAACTTACATTCGTTTTATGATAAGAACTCTGTCGAAAAATTTCCGCCATTTGGTCTTTCAGATCATAATGTTGTGATTGTCAATCCTTGCAAAAGAGAACCCAAGTCATGCAGTAGAAGAATTATCTCTAGTAGAGATTTACGATCTAGTAAAAGGCATGAGCTCGGAAGATACCTTACATCTATCGATTGGTCCTCTCTGAATCATTTTGACACATGCGAAATGAAACTCCAGTATTTCGAAGAGTTAGGACGTCTCGGTATTACCATTATGCCAATTAAGAAAACGGCTTTGCATGTACACGATCCTCCATGGATTACTGCAGAATTTAAAGAGCTTATAAGGAAGCGTCAAGCTGCCTTCTGCAGTGGAAATACCTTTCAGTTCAAGTATTACCGGAATCGCTATTTCGAAAATCGCTGAGGACTGTGTTGTTAAAAAATACATTGCTCCAGCTATCATGAGTATAATCGATCCAAGTCAATATGGAGTAATACCAAGAAGTTCAACTACTCTCGCTGTTATATCTATGATCCATGAATGATCGCAAGCTACTGATGGCACTGGCTCTGCTGTCAGAGTCATCCTGTTCGATTATAGAAAAGCATTCGACCTTATCGATCATGCTTTACTGGCTGATAAAATTTCCAATTTAGCTATTCCACGTGCGGTTGCTCGCTGGACAATCGATTTTTCGATGAATCGAAAGCAGAGAGTGAAATTATCCAATGACTGCTATTCGGAGTGGGGTGATGTACTTTCCGGTATCCCTCAAGGTACAAAATTAGGGCCCTGGCTATTTTGTTTAATGATAAACGATCTTGATATTTGTGATATATCGAGGTGGAGGTTTGTTGATGACACAACAGTTGCTGAAGTAGTTAGTAAGGACACAGAGAGCCGTGTTCAAGTCGCAGTTGATGTTGTGGAAGATTGGTCGAAGGCAAATGGGCTATCTCTTAACACTGAGAAATGTAAAGAACTGAGAATCGATTTTAAAAAAATTAAACAACCTTTTGATCCTGTACTGGTG